CCCTGATTTCTCACAGGGTCATATTCAGCTGTTATTGGCCCAAAATGATCAGGTGGTATAGTGACAAATATCTTCCCACTAGCAGCATTGGCCTTTCCTGCTCTCTGTGCACGGTCTGTTGTAAATGCCTTTTCAGGTCGATCTTGGTTGTGTATAAAATGGTAAACCTTCAAAGGTCCCACAGCTACATTATTTCTTGCCATCTTTGCCATTCGGATAGCAGACACAAGCGCAGAATTAATTCGTGGTTGGCTAGCCATCTTATGTGGAATTTGAGCTCGGCATTTTGCACATGTACTCTTGCCTTGTCCAATCCATTTCTGGAAGCATTTCAGGCAAAAGTTGTGACCACATGGTGTCTGAAACAAGAAAAAAGAAAAAGACATGATCAAAACCAACATGTATAAAGATTCAGCCAATTAACTTGTTAGTTAGCATTAGCAGAAACAACGGCAGGTACTGACAATAACTGCCAAGCCCATTAACAACAATTTATATCTTCCTTGCCAATTTGGAAGAAGAAACAAAAATCCACACTAATTCAAATGCCAATTTTGGTGACTGAAGAAACAAGTACGGCCACTAATTGAGAACTCAAAGATGATAGAAGCACTAATGCACTCAAATTGCATGACAAATGCATGAAAAAGATGCCTGAAAATAGAAAAACAACTTGAGATTAAAAAAAAAAAAAAGAAGAAGTGATAGATAACTACAAACCTGAATTAAGAGAACACTACTTAATGTTGGTTATACAACATGTAACAATATCAAAGTTATATGTTCTAGTGAGATAATGAATTTAATGAAGCTAAACCCTAAATTAGAGAACTAAAAATGGGAATGGACTAGGATTCCGTGTTAAAAACAGCTAAAATTTTATCAATGACTAATTTATAGAACAGAACATTGTAACTCACCATAAAGCTTCGAAACATTACCAACATCAAGATTCAAGATAATCAAGAAATAAGAAGAAAAGACATGCCAAATGCATGAAAAAGATGCCTGAAAATAGAATGCTAACTAAAACTTTCTCAAAGACCAATTTATAGAACAAAATACTAATTATAACTCACAATAAAGTTTCAAAACAAAACCAAAAACAAGAAAAACAAGAAATAAGAAGAAAATTCTTTATCTCTAGCAAGATCGAGTACCTTAAATTTTAGATAAATCTATAAAAGAACAGGAAATGTACCGTAACAGGTCTTTCCGGTAACTGCATACAGAAAGAACAATTCAAGGTCCCGCCAAGAACATCCAAAATAGAATTCTCCTCTTCTGCCTTCTCTTTCCCTTTCTTCTTATCTCCAGCTCCATCCGCATCTCCTGATTTTCCACTGAGCAGCTCCTGCCGCTTCCTGGCCTTTTCTTTCTCAGTCAACGAATCGTCCACCTCAATCGCCTTGATCGCGGCCACCAGGTCACTAGATCCCCCAGCTGCGGCACCAGCAGAAGGAACTGACTCACCGGAGCAATCAGGGCAGCTCCATTGCAGAGTAGATTCAAGCGTCGGTGGAGGCACTGCCAGACAGGCGACATGCCAAGGCGTCACGCAGGTAGCGCACGTCAAGGTCTCCTCGGCAGGCGGCGTGGCCTTGCAACGCATACACGCGCCTTCACCGTCGCATGGGAGCTGAACAACGTTTTGCACCATCGAAAGGGATACGAGGATGCAGGAGCAGAATAGAAGGTGAGAAATGAAGAGAGTGAGGTTGTGTTGGAGACTGGAGAAAGTGGTGTTTAAGGAGGCGGAGAGAATGGTTAGGGGGGGAAATGGAAAATGGGAAATGGGAAAGGCGGGCTGTTGACATTTTTGAGCGGGCGTTTGAAAAAAGGGACCATCGTGACCAAGAGTGAAGTTACCAGACTGCCCTAATTGATTCTCCGTTTTGACATTTGTGCCCGTTGTTGAGATTGTAAATTTTTTTTTTTTTGAACAAATTTGCAAGCACCGGATTCAAACCATTGTACTGTAAATTGTCCTGTGAGTAAGAGAATGCCCTTAAAAAAATGCAATTATATATGACTTGACGTCACTTGACTCAAAGATCGAAGTACCCCGTTATTGAAATTGTATTTGAGTGACAAATACAGAGGATTTTGATTTTACAGGTTTTCTTTCCATAATAGTTGTCTTAATCCCATCCAACGGTCCCTTCTATTTGAATTAGTGTGGATTTTTTTTTTTGTAATTTAATTTTAAATTTATTTTTGGTCTTTTTTTTTGTGTGAAATTTTTTGGTCTTATATGTATTATGTAAAAAGGGAAAAAAAGAAGACTCCAATTATTTTAAATTTAATGGGTTATATATTATGATTTAATATTATATAATTAATTTTTTATTTAAAAATTATGAGTGATATTATATATATTTATTTAATATTATATGGTATTATAAACATTGAATGTTGTAAAGGGGAGTGTTGATGCCATTTGCAAAACGGAAGAAACTCATAAAATTACAATGGTGGCAAATGGAGCTTCTACACACTTTCATTAATCCATTAACAAGATCTTTATAATCAAATAGATCCATGTATCTATACATGGCAAAAAAATGAATGGATAGAATAAGAAAAATCAAAATTGATGGATATATTTTTTGAAGCAAATGAGAAAGAATGAAATCATGGATCCACTAAACCCTCTTGGTCTTTGGGGCTTGCTCAAGAATAAGAAAATTTTATTTCTTGACTTTTGATTTATTCAAATAATAATTAAGGTGAGGTTAGGAACAATGATTCTCTCCTGCTAAATAAATCTATTTTACAAGTTCGTTATTATAAGTAGTGATAAAATAGGATTTAAATCAGTGAATAAAAAGTTACACTTAGTAAAATAAGAAATTGAAAGATTTTGTAGATATTGCTCATTTGAAAATTTCCTAAAAAGCTGTTGTAGGTTCTTCTCTTCATCAAAACAATACGGTCGCCACGCTCATTATTTACTTGCCAAAGAAATAAAATATAACCAGGGTATTTCTTTTTTATCATAAGTTGATTTAATCATTAGGAGAAGAATTAATCCAAAAATTAGGATACATTGTAAGAAAATCAAACATCCATTGAAGAGAAGCAAATGAATGGCTTTCATAAAATTCTCATAAGATTGGGAACGAAATTTTCATTCTATATGTTTCAAATCCTGAATTAGCAATGGCATTCAATTTTAAAAATAAATCTCAATTTTTTTTAAACTCTTTGTTTTTTTTAATAGAATATTTATGAAATCTACATAAATAGGACCAAACCTTATTCCATAGTATTTTTATGAGATTCTTCTTTCTTATTCTTAAGCAAGCCTAGGAGGAGAAAACATATATTGATAATGAAACAAACTTTGTCAATTTTTCTATTTAAGGATATGAATTTTTTTGAGTTTTTAAATTAGATAATAAATTTTTATTTTTTCATAAATAAAGGTACAAATTTCATTATTTTCTTATTTAAGGATTTATTGAATGGTAATGATGATGCAGCAAATGACAATCCTAATTGAAATAAAACAATGTTTATATTTTTAAATAGAAAAAAAAAATAAAAGTTTATTGTCTAATTTAAAATTTCAAAAAATTCATATCTTAAAAAAAAAGAGACAAAATTCAAATTTTCATTTGAACATTTTTGCAGCCCGAGGGAGGTTAGTTGATCCATAATTTATATTTCATCTTTGGTTTTCTTTTAGTTGTTTTGAGAAACATATCGATCAATTCCAATTCTTTCCATTTCTATTGATCAATTTTTTATCGAGATGCATGAATCCATAGATCTATGTCTTTACATAGATCATGCGCATAGATTAACAAAAATGTATAAAAGTTCTATTTACCTTTGTTATTATATGAGTCTCTTCTTTTTTGAGTATGAAATTGCTGCTCCATTACAGTATTCACTAATTTAAAACTTAATTTAAAAATCATTTGTTCACCTAGTCATTTTTAGGTTGCCCCTAATAACCAACACATGACAAGTGTAACATTGTCTAGCATTGTTGCATAAAAAAATTTATTATTGGTTTTATTGTAATTTTCCTTTTTTTCAAATGGTTTATGTGTTTTTTGATTAATTTTTATGTACTTTTCAAAACTTATCTCTCCCTAAATAATTTTAAATGTGCATCCTAATATTGATTTAATGCGTTCAAAGCAATTATTTTACTTGAGTGCTAGCTCCAATATTTAAACACTAAACCTAATTTATAAAATGTAATTTTATTGTATTTTTGATAATCTAAGATAATTCATTTTTATGATTTTATTTATGGTTAAATATTAATTTTAGTTCCTCAACTTTAAAATTTTATATAATTTTCATCTTTCAATTTTATTATATAATTTTTTCATTCTTTTAACTATAAAAACTACGTAATTTAATTCCTCCATCAATTAGGCTTGTTAACTCAATTCACATGGCATTTCTTTTATTTGTTTTAATGACATGGCTGACATTTTCTTTATTTTTTAATGACATGAAAATTACAAATAATATAACATACTTAGTTGGACTAAGAATTAAATTTTTTTAATTAAAGGAATCTTTTTCTCTCTCCTCCCTTCCTCTAGCAACCGACATTTTCCACCTTTGCTGATGCTTTCTCCACCAAAGTTTAATCTAAATCCTTCCTTTTCCAATTTTCTACAATTTCTTGGATTTATTAGTGATGACATTGGTTCAATGGAAGCTGGAACCTAACAACTGCTAGGTTTGATCAAACTCTAATTCCTCAAAGCTTTCAATTGCAAATAGAAGGAAATATTTTGATTAAAAAAAAAAAAGGGTTAGATTTCGTTAAGAGAGGGAGGAATGGGGTAAGTGTCCAAGCAAGAAAGTGAAGAAGCGAAGGTACTCTCTTACAAAATGACTCGCCACACCAAATTCCTCCTCAAAGATATCCTTTTTGTTATTAATTTGATTTTGCCCAATTCTTAAATTTACGTTCTTTGTGATCATAAGAGTTGCTGAAGCTTGATTCCGAGATGAAACCTTGCCCCTCAATGAAGAAGAACAAGATGAGGAATAGAACCTAGTGCCTGGGTTTGAAGGCCAACAAACATTAGATCAAAACCCAATGCCTAAGTTCAATGCAACCCAGAAGGAGTTGGGTTTGATCCAAAACCCAACGCTTGGGTTCAATGCAACCTAGCACACACTAGGTTCGATCTTGGATGCAAATGAGAGGGAAGAAGGAGGAACATGAATTGTTCAATAGGTGAGTAGGTGAGTCATGGATGGAGGATGAAGAAGAACAAGATGAGGAACAAAGTACTTGTACAAGAAAGACGACCATACAATGGTAATTTCTTAATAACCTTTTTGTTTTCTAATTTTATAAATTAATTGATGTGGCATGATTTTTATCTATGAAAAATTATACAAAGTGTCAATACATGTCATCAAAAAAATTGTCATTTTGGATGATTTTAATGGTCACGTGTAAGTTAATTAATAAAGAGATCAAAATTATGTAATTTTTAAAATTGAGGGACAAAAAGTATATAAAAAAATTAAAAGATAAAAATTATTTAAAATTTTAGAATTAAAAACCCAAAATTGACATTTAACCTTTACCTATTTCACAAGCATACCTAACTTAGGAAAAACGCTAGCTTCACTTGACAATTTCAAACACTCGGGCA